TGCTTCTGTTATGTCCCGACCATTTTTGCCCTTTATTATGTCCATCTTTGCACAAAATATTCCTTTAGTATCTCCCATTTTCCTGTACAGATAACTGGTTTTTCCTTTTCTATTATTGTCCTCTATTCCTTTGCACTGTTCATTTAAGAAGGCCCTCTTGTCTTTCCTTGCTATTTTTTTGAAGTCTGCATTCCATTTTCTGTAACTTTCCCTATCTCTCTTGCATTTTATCTCCCTTCTCTGCCATTTGTAAGGCCTCATTGGGCAACCACTTTGCTTTCTTGCATTTCCTTTTCTTTGGGATGTTTTTGTTGCTGTCTCCTGTACAATGTTACGAGCCTTTATCCAAATTCTTCAGGCACTCTGTCCACCAAATCTAGTTCCTTAAATCTGTTCTTCACTTCCACTGTGTATTCATAAGGGATTTGGTTTAGATTATACCTAGCTAGCCCAGTGATTTTTCCTACTCTCTTCAGTTTAAGCTTGAATTTTGCTATGAGAAGCTGATGATCAGAGCTGCAATCAGCTCCAGGTCTTGTTTTTGCTGACTGTATAGAGCTTCTCCATCTTTGGCTGCAGAGAATATAATCAATCTGATTTCGGTATTGCTCATCTGGTGATTTCCATGTGTAGAGTCGACTCATGTGTTGTTGGAAAAAAGTGTTTGTGATGACCAGGTTGTTCTCTTGACAAAAGTATTAGCCTTTGCCCTGCTTCATTTTGAACTCCCAGGCCAAACTTTCCTGTTGTTCCTTTTATCTCTGTAATCTATTTTAGTTCACTGACGCCCAGGATGTCAATGTTTATTCTTCCCATCTCCTGTTTGACCACATACAGCTTACCAAGGTTCATAGATCTTACATTCCAGGTTCCTATTCAGTATTTTTCTTTGCATCATCGGACTTTCCTTTCACTTCCAGGTGCGTCCACAGCTGAGTGTCCTTTCGGCTTTGGCCCAACCACTTCATTAGCACTGGAGCTACTTGTACTTGTCCTCCGCTCTTCCTCAGTAACATGTTGGACACCTTCCGACTTGAGGGTCCCATCTTCCAGCATCATATCTTTTAGCCTTTTGTTTCTGTTCATGGGGCAAAGATACTGGAGTGGCTTGCCAATTCCTACTCCAGGTGGATTGCATTTAGTTGGAACTATCCACTATGACCTGTCCGTCTTGGGTGTCCCTGCACGGCATAGCCCATAGCGCCTCCGAGTTACTCAAGCCCCTTCGCCACGACAAGGCAATAATCCATAAAAGATATAACCCGTTATGGAGGTACAAATTTACTTAACAATAGCATCACTTATCTCACACTTAACCAGCTTGGTCACTTTGTGAAAAGCCTTGCTGAAATCAAAGTACATTGCAGTATTCCCCTTATCTACCATGACTTAGTACAGAGAGAGAGAGAGAGAGAGAGAGAGAATTAGTTTCATTTGACGTGTTTTTGAGAAAATTGCTGGGTCTTAGGGATCACTGTATTTTCTAAGTGCTCATAGATTGGCTATTTAAAGATACAATCGCTAGAAGGTTTCTACCTATTAGCCATGTGAAGGTGAACAGCTGATAGTTGTCTGGATTCTCTTCTTTCTCATCTTTGAACATGTGGGTGGCGTTTGTCTGCCTTATGAGGAAAGGCTACAGTGTTTGAGGCTCTTTAGTCTAGAGAAAAGGTGCCTGAAGGGGGACCTGATTGAGACATATAAAACTATACAGGGGATGGATAAAGTGGATAGAGGGAAACTCTTTTTCCCTTCTTACACAATACCAGAACCAGAGGACAGCCACTCACATTGAGTGTTGGGAGAGTGAATACAGACAAAATAAAATCTTTCTTTACCCAATGTGTTGTAAGTCTGTGGAACTCCTTGCCACAGGATGTGGTTATGGCATCTGGCCTAGCTGCCTTTAAAAGGGAATTGGACAGATTTCTGGAGGAAAAGTCCATTGCCATTTACAAGCCGTGATGGGGATACATAATCTCGAGGCTTAAAAGGAAGGTACCTCCAAATGCCAGATGCAGGGGAAGGGTATCAAGAGACGGGCATCTAGTTGTCTCATGTGCTCCCGGAGGCATCTGGTGGGGCCACTGTGAAATACCTGGACTAAATGGGCCCTTGGCCTGAACTAGCAGGGCTCTTCTTACGTTCTTATGCCTCTGGTCTTCAGGAACCTCACAATTTCTCGAAGAGTTCTCAAAGGTAGTAGACCAAGGTGCAGATTATTTTAGTACCCTTAAATGTAGCTCATCTGGACCTGCAGACTCATCTCTACAGCCAATCTCATGCTCTGTGCTATCCCTGTTCCTGCAGCTCAAAATCACTGTGCATGTAGAGAGTCTGAGATTCCTGCCATTGTTTCAGATAAGAGCCCCTGCTTAAGGGCAGGGGCTCTTGTCAGTTCTGTTCCTCCAAGGACAACTCCTGCTTCTCCATGGCATATTCCTCAAAGTGCTTACTTCTTCAGGAGTGCCCGTGCTCTGTTGATCTTCTAAGAGAGTCTGCTCAACTCTGTCTAGAAACACTTTCTTTTTCCTAGTGAGCTGAAGTATGAATAGGTGGTCCTCAGTTTGGACAGTAAAGGGAAAAAATATTGCACTTTTTTGCCACTGTATGAAAGGACAAGATGATCCAAGTAAAACTTACATCCCTTGGTGTGTCCTCAGATGCGTATTGAAAGTATTTTTTAGTTCTCTGTTGTATCTAATGCCTTTCTGCAGGGGGAGCTGTAGGATTGAGCTTTGTAAAAAAGAAGTGTTTTGTATGATGATTAATGATCCTAAAATGATTTTTCAGTCTGTTTTTATCCTCTATCAGTATTTGATGTTATTCAGATTTCTAACCAATTACTGAAAAAGAAAGCATATGTTATTATATTCTCTTATATTATCCTTATATGTACTGCTGTATAGCTTTATAGCTGTATAGCTTTTTTTCAAAATGTTGATAGTTACTCTGCAGTTTCCAGTTTGGGGTAATATTGTTCCACTGTTCTAAAATGTATTTTTTTAAATAATAGAAGTCTCCTGAGTTGTTGTATAACTCATGGTTTGTACACTAATATTCTGTGCCAAATACTACTTCCCAATTTTGTAAAGAAGGCATTTGGTAGATGCTGCCCCTCTTTTGGCTGTTGGTAGTTGAACTGAAACTAATAAATCGTACCTCTGTTTTTCCTTTTTGATAGAGGCTTTAGTTACATTTTGGTGGTCATAAGAGTTATACAAGGTTTTTTGAACTATGGGTCCAGCACCCACAGCCCCAACATTGTTGATGTGAGAAGTATATTAGACTAGTACAGTTGGAATTGACTTTCTACTATCTCATTAGTTCTGCCTGATGAGAGTAATAACAGATTAACTCACGTAGGCTGTTGATTACAGAAGTCCAAGACTTCTTAATGACTTTACATGTCCATCATATTTTCCCGAAATATGCAGACTTGAGCACAGGTCTAGCATAAATTAGGACATATATTTTCTGCAACTTATAAAGGTCTTAATAATTGGCATAAAAATATTTCTAAAACCTTTCTGCAGGATTAATAAAATATTTTGGCCCTTTTTGAAAAAAAATACTTGCATCACATAGCAAATAGTTTATTTATTTAAAATATTTTTACTCTACCTTTCTCCTTTAAAAAGACCCAAGGCAGCTTACATCATTGAAAGACAGTATTTAGAACTGAAA